GGCTGCTCACCCTGCGGGCGTCCGAAAAGCGGGTTGGCGGCCCGCTCTGCAGTAAGTCACTTGTCACACAGCGTGGATTTTACATCAACAGAGTCCGCAACGGGAGTGCTGATGTACCCTGTGCTGTGTTTTCCTCTTTCTTTTTTTTTTTTCTTCTCACAGGTTTTTACTGATAGAGTAGTGCCAGCAAGATTTCTGTGGCGTAGAATAACTCTTGAAGACACAGAAAAGTAAGGAACACTGTTTAATATGGCAGCAAATATAATGAATCGCTTTTGTCTCTAATTAAGACTGAATCTTAAGTTGAGACACAGGCTGGAATGAAGTGGAGACTCGGGAGGAAGGAGAAAAGCCAGGCAACGCGCTGCCTGTTTTGCAGCTGGTGATGGGGTGATGTACAGGGATAGTGGTAACGTTTTGGCAGCATCTAGCGATTCTTAATAAACCCTAATGAGCAGGGTGGGCACTGAAATGTTTAGTGAGAGAAGCCTGTGAAGGCAAAGGAAGCAGATGATGCCAGGAAAAATCCCAGTGGCAGTGGAGGAAGATAACTCTGGATGATGGGCTGCGAATTCAGGTGGTTTGCTTTAAGGTGTTTTGTTTCAGGTTGTTCTTCATCACTATTTTGCTGGTAGAGTGATGTGAGTGTGTGCTTTTGCATTTATATTGGGCAAAACTGGCTGAGTCTGAACTATTTAAATAAATGGCTTGTAATCCCTTGGTTGACTTTTGCCCTGATCAGAAGAAGAGTTTCCAGGTGGGGACAATATAGGTGAGATAGCTTAAAGCTTTACTAAATGGCTGCATTGGGCCTAATCAATACTTCTGAGCTTTGCTGATGTAATTTGCTTGTTTAAAGGTGTAACTTTTTTTTTTTTTCCCCCTGTTAAACTGGTGCCAAAGTAGATCATAGCTGTACTGGGATAAGAATTCTTCTTCCAGATCAAGCACATGCACAACGAGAGGAAAGTGCCAAGAAGGGGCCTCAGTTGCAAAAGGCCAGAAAGATGCAGGCAAGGTGTTTGTGTGAGACAAAGGAGGGCAACAATTAAAGGGAAGCTGGAGGAGCAGGGAAATGACTTTATTCCAACTTCCCGCTCCATCCATATTCTTACATTAATCAGGGCTGTACTGTAGTTGGTAATTAAAGTGAGTGTATAGTCGATGTCCAGCTTTTGCAGAAGACTGTTGGAGAAGCCTAATTACTTGAAAAAGTCTCTTTCTAATCTTGTGACAATTATGTACTTGCACAGTAGAAAATCAAGATAGGGGGCCCTGGTGGGGGCTTGCTCTCCTGATGCCTGTTTGCATCCCTTCTGCCAGGCAGCAGCTTGGCTGAACAGAGTGGCAAATCACCTCGCAAGAACTTTTGTTGTTACACAGAACAGGCGTACAGAGAGAGGTCGGATGGGGGAGCCGTAGTATTCAGGGTTTTTTCGACATCCTCAGCTCCTTGGTTTGAGTAAAGCCTGTATCCACATGCATACCAGCAAGGGATGGGAAGGGATACAGATCAGAGTTAAACGTGACAAACTTCAGGAAATAACGATATAAAATAGTGACATAATACTGATGGGGGATGCTGCAATCAATTTTGTAACTGTGTTGCTTTAGCTTTTAAGAGTTAAGTGGTGTTCAAAATGTTGTCTTTTTTCTGCTTCTAAGGGGTAAGTTATCCATGATACTTTGAGCAGACAAGTACAGTTTTTTCCTTATGCTTCTTAGCAAAATTGCCTGAAATGTTCAGGCTTGCAGAGCTTCTGTTAAGACTCTTGTTGTTTTTGGTTTGGTTTGGTGGTGGTTTTTTTTTTTTTTTTTTTTTTTTTTGTCAGGTGCTAAAGAACGGTAGTATGAAACGATGTTATCCTTGCATTTGCGCTGAAAATTGTTTTATTGAATGCGTTAAAGTGATTTTTAAGAATTACTAAACATGGCATTTGTCTGTGTGACCAAACTGTGCTTTAGTTATCTTTGTGAAGGATTTTCCTCAAATTTTAGTTTCTAGAAAGCAGCCTAGTCTAGACAGAGTCTGGTCTGTACGTACCCTTGTGAAAAAAGAAATTTGAGAGCATGAAAGCGGGGATAGAGAGGTAGTGATACAAAAGGAAGGAAAACATTAACAATTCCTCTTTTTGTGTAGTGAGGGCATGGCAGTTAGCTTCGTTTTGTTTTGAAAGCACCTGTGACCCTCCAAACTTTGGTAATTAGTTTATCCACAAAGCTGTTAAACATAAGCAGTGGATAAAAGCAGATCGAGGTTTATGTGTTTAAAAAAAGAACTCTAAGGGTTCTCTCCATGTGTTGAGAGAGAGAGAGCGAGCGCTATCTACCCATACACCTGAATGGTTTAGCACAGTTTCCAAATTAGAACAAGTTAGGCCAGTCCCATCTGATCTTTGTTGTTTGCTCATCTGTGGGAAACATGGAGCAGGTAAACGCTTGAAGAAGGAAAGACAGAAATCATTACTGGGGATGCTACAAAGAATCTGGTAATTACAGAATGTTTTGATTTTCCCTTGTGCATGAGTTTTCTTGTGTTAAGAAATGCAAATCTGTTTACAGAAGTTCTACGATTAAGTCAGATGACACATTAATTTTGTCAGTGGCAGTAAAAATGGGTATGAAGTGTGCTTATTATCAAAGGTTAGACAAAATAAAGTAAAACGTTGCATATTCAGGTTATAGATTCATATATTCACAGAAGATAATTGCATATTTACTGACCCACTATCAAATGATTCATTGATCATACTAAGGAATATCAGATACTACATATACTAAAAAGTAGCTTCTGCTTTTTTTATTTTAATTCACATTGTAGCACAAATTAAACTGTCTTATTGCAGTCTTTGTACAAACCTTACGTTTTTTTCCTGTAACTTAAATTAATATAGGACTCCTATTTGGGAGATTCCAAAATAATTTACAGCTATATCCTCTTATGTACTGCTCAACAGTAATCCCTTTCAGCATCATTGGGAGGGTTTCTCTTGACCAACGGATGGGCATTCTCCTTTTCCTACAAATGGCCTTAGAAATTTTACTGTGCAGTCAGTCACGCCAGGGGAGACCATGGCTGCATACTGCTACGTAGGGTTTCCTTCGTGCGTGGAAGGACAGAGATCCATGCCAACCGCTCAGTGATTTGAGTCTGTGGATCCCAGGGAGTAAAACCTGTCAACGTGGATATGACTATTGTTTCTCAAACACTGTTTGGAAATGAATTTAGAGGTAGCATCGTGTGTGTGGTTGGATAATGAAACCGTATCTAAAATCTCTATAATTTGTCACAAATCTAGATTTAGGTCTCACCAGTAGGGGAAAAAAAAAAGCATATATGGCATATAAAAAGTGTATGTTAATTTCTTTGTGGTGAGTAACAGATCTGAAAGCATACTGGGCTTTTGTTGGTGATTGAAGCTGTAGGAAGAGTGGTGGCTCAAATCCCATACAGCAAAAACAAATGTGTATTTCCAGTGCTTTAATTAATTCCTAATTTCAACACAGTTTAAGACTGCATAATAGTAACTAGCTCTTGTATATTGTTTTTCATCATTAGATCTAACAGCATTTTATAACAAGGGGCAATTAAGAGACACTGATGTCCATCCCAATAAGGATACACTTTAAATAAAACGTAACATTTCTGGAAATCTTTTTTTCAACACCATTAGTAAGTGTAATGCATTTTTATTGTACTGAAGTTGTATGCACAAGCTGGAATGTATCGTTACAGATATTATTGCAAGTTTTATGAATCTGGAAAATAAATGAACCAACAATGTCCAGAATATAATTAAAGATAGAAAATGTAGAGCCATACATAATCACAGTGCCCCGACACAGTGCTTAAATAATTAAGAGTGTTAAAGAGGGAACCATCGCTGATGTTTTTGGGTCATTAGTGAGTGTAAGCATCCCCTGCCCTGTTTTAAGGAACAAGGATAAGTCTTTGAGGAAAGGATTTTAAAAATGCATAGGGTGGACGTCCCGTTGTACATGTTTTAACTTTACTACAGCTTGCTTAAATCTAAAGTAAGGACAAGAAAGGAAGTGCTGTTGTTGGTTGGATTTTTTTGAGGGCGCTGTGCTTTTCAACACTTATTTCAATAGTGTTCTATTTAGTGTTTGTTCTTGAAATAAATCATACATAGCATTTTTAGTAACAGTAAGAGTAACACTTCAGAGTTACTCATTAAGTCAAGGTGAATAAATGCCTGCATAATGGAGCATGTTCATGATGCTTTGGGCATCTTAACGACTGACATTACAGACAGACACCTGGAAGTTCTGATCACTCTCCCGCTGTACAGCTGAATTAGTTGGGCTTGCTTTTCTGCTCAGTTATGTCAGTCTTAAACCAGCACAGTGGAGAATCAGGACTTCTGAAGGATAGTTCATCAGTTTGCAAGTAACTCGTGTACTAATGGAAAGATGGGGCCTCGATACATATGATTATTTTGCCAATATGAGCAGAGGATTTGCTTCTGCAGTTTGGAGTAGTCCATCAGGTGATACCCCATTGTGTACTCTTAACATAGTGGCATTCAACTATTAATAGTAAACGGTAGCTTCTAAAAACTAATACACTTTTGTTTTCCCCCCTCAATGAATAAGTACTTGAGAGATGCCAGAGGCACGCTAAAATCATAACCTGGTATGTAAAAAATACAGCTTTCTCAGTTAAATATTTTAAGTGGTCTAATTATCTCAAATTTAGATTTGAATTTTAACATCCTGTTTTCTCCTCATCTTGCTGCCTTTCTCAAATGTTTCCTATCAACATTGATTTAGTTCTTGTTGGCTTTTGTAGGTGGCCAAGTAAAAATAATAGCAGCTTGTTCTTTTGATAACCCTGATATTTTCAAGCAATTAGAAATATGAAAAAGGAACATGTAAAGAAGAGAAAGGGACAACCTGTATAGTAGAAACATACGGGGTTTGCAATTACTGGCGCAAAATACAGGCTTCCAAGCTACTACTAAACGCTTATATGTTCTCTTTATGAGAAAATGTGACATTACACGGTGTTTGAAATAGGACCTTTTCTACATCAGCATACAAAAATATACTTTGTTAAAAGTTAACAAAAATAACTTAAATTTTTGAGAAGCAAGACAAGTCCTTGTTGGGACAGAAACTCCATTTGCTTATGTTTTGCATAAAGTAAGCCTACTAGCCTAAACTGGTGGCTTTCCAACCTTCATTGTTTGGATGTCCATACAGCACACAGAAGGTTACTGAAAAGAGGGTTCCTTTCTTAATTACCTTTTGTCTGTGAATCCCTGAAACAGTGGTTGAAAATCACTGGCTTAAAATCTATCCTCGGAGATTGGTGAATTTTTTAAGAGGTGGGGTTACAACAGCATCTAAAGGCAAATAAACAAAGATGAGAGTTTCTGAGCGTTCTTGCTGCATTGTGACTTCAAGTCATACCCTTAGTTAATTTTAAAATGTTGGCTTTATTCTTTATATTCATCTTAAAATGAGGCACTGATACGTTATGGCTTGTTTGTGTCAAAGTACCCTGTGCTTTGGTTTTCAGGGGCATGAAATAATGAGCCAAGGGCAAGAATTATTTCCTTGACAATGAAATGGTTTATCCTCTGCGTTTAAAGACAAACTAATACATAAAGGGTAAGATGACTAATTCAGTGGAATAACTTAATTTCAGTGAAGTTGAACATTGATGATATAAATGTTCTACTATGCATTTACTATGCAATTTACAGCAACTACACAACCTTTCTCTCTTTAGCTGCAGTGAGCTCCATGCCTGTGGTCTTGAATCGGAAAGTACTATCACTTAAATCAGTGGGAGTTGTATCTGAATGCAGATTTTGATCTTTAAAATATTCTAAAAATTTATTTTAAACCTCAAATAATAATTAAAAAAAAATAAATCTTCAAACAAAGAGAAGCTTAAGTGGTTCTCTTGAGATTTTCATGAAGTCTTTGGCTAAAAACTCCAATATACCAAATTCAAACCTGAAACGCTTCCCCTGCTCCACTGTCTATAGACTCCTGAAAGAATGATCTTTGTAGCAGTAGGCTTTAATGACCAACTACTATTCTGAATGCAATATTTAAATAAATAAGATAGCATAGTACAGAAAAACATGCCTCCAAGTCATATACCCACTGTGCGAGGAAACCAGAAGATGAAGCAAGATCATTAAAAGTAAGAAGTTATTTTATAGACAATTTAGGGTTTGATGCTTTTCCAAGAGTTCCTACAAAGATGAGAGTTTCTGAGCGTTCTTGCTGCATTGTGACTTCAAGTCATACCCTTAGTTAATTTTAAAATGTTGGCTTTATTCTTTATATTCATCTTAAAATGAGGCACTGATACGTTATGGCTTGTTTGTGTCAAAGTACCCTGTGCTTTGGTTTTCAGGGGCATGAAATAATGAGCCAAGGGCAAGAATTATTTCCTTGACAATGAAATGGTTTATCCTCTGCGTTTAAAGACAAACTAATACATAAAGGGTAAGATGACTAATTCAGTGGAGTAACTTAATTTCAGTGAAGTTGAACATTGATGATATAAATGTTCTACTATGCATTTACTATGCAATTTACAGCAACTACACAACCTTTCTCTCTTTAGCTGCAGTGAGCTCCATGCCTGTGGTCTTGAATCGGAAAGTACTATCACTTAAATCAGTGGGAGTTGTATCTGAATGCAGATTTTGATCTTTAAAATATTCTAAAAATTTATTTTAAACCTCAAATAATAATTAAAAAAAAATAAATCTTCAAACAAAGAGAAGCTTAAGTGGTTCTCTTGAGATTTTCATGAAGTCTTTGGCTAAAAACTCCAATATACCAAATTCAAACCTGAAACGCTTCCCCTGCTCCACTGTCTATAGACTCCTGAAAGAATGATCTTTGTAGCAGTAGGCTTTAATGACCAACTACTATTCTGAATGCAATATTTAAATAAATAAGATAGCATAGTACAGAAAAACATGCCTCCAAGTCATATACCCACTGTGCGAGGAAACCAGAAGATGAAGCAAGATCATTAAAAGTAAGAAGTTATTTTATAGACAATTTAGGGTTTGATGCTTTTCCAAGAGTTCCTTTACTAGTTTCTCTAAGGAGAAGAGATGCTCATCTACGTCTTCTGGCATGAGACTTCTGATAGAATTAGCAAGTTCAAACAGGTATTCTGTGTTTCTTCCGCTAGGACCGACTGCATTGAAAATCTGCTCAGCAATCTCTTCTAGAGGTGCTGGACCAAGGTAGTTAGGGTTGTCACAAGTTCCAATGTATAGCAGTACATCAAACGGTTTTACTGACGAGTCTTTTGGATAGAAAATGACAGTTGTAGTCCTGTAGCCTCCTTTCTCTCTGAAGTCCAGGTATGCCTTCACTTCACATTCTTGGCCAGCTGGCAGTCTGTAAGCAACGCCCCATACACACCCCTGTTGAAGGACATAAGAAAATCCAAGCAGTGTTTATAAAGATACTCACAAATTAATGTATTTATATTGTATTTAGGCAAAGCTCTGTTTAAAAAAAAAAAAAAGCCTTCAGTTGTCAGTCTTTTTAGAGCTATTTCTCGCACTGCTTGTAGAAGGAGTCCCAAATTAAAAGCGTTGTTTTATTTAGGAAATCTAAAGTCAAAATAGTAATTTTGCAGACTGATATCCCCTTTCTTGCTAATGCTGAGGCCTTTCTTACCAAACAATTTCTTGTTACAATTAAGTTTGAAGTAGTAAACTTTAGTTGTCAACTAAACACCACTTTAGTGGTCAACTAAAGAGCTGGCAAAAGGGATACAAAGTATCTTGCTGACCTCACAAAAGATGTATCTGAAAATCAAAATTTTAAATAGTGCCAAATTCAAAGTAATTTTGGTCAGGTCCTCTTTCTGTTCAGGATCTGGAGGAATCAGTGTGGAAACGCTACTGCACGGAAACTGAATCGAGGAAGAAAAAGCTGAGAGGTGAACCTTCATTGCGCACGAATAACCATGGCATATCCAGCACCTCAGCAAACACTGTTAGCATAAGTTTCATTACCATCTTTGAGTACCTGAATATTTCTTCATCCTCTTCACAGATAACATCTCTGAAAAAGTATTTAACTGTGGTGTCAAGTAGTTATACTCCCTTACCAAGTTTTATATAAACAAATCAGTGAGAACTATGTAGGGATTGATTTGCATGGGGCTTTCTTTTGAAGTAGCATAGAAAAATGATGATGGTCTGTTATCCAGGGCCATATCCTATGTTATAAGGGCTATATATTGTTTCTTACCAGTGCTGCTTTAAAAGAAATGGTAATCTGTTTTGTCTGCTGGCAACATCAAACATCAATTCTTCCTGCAGCTTAGTAGGTATAGGTATTGGTGTTACAGTAATGATGACAAAGCAATTAACGTTTTGGGTTTTTCTACCCCCTTAAAACTGGATCTCAGTGTTTAGTCATGATACCGGATGCTGCTGGGGTGGTGGTGTTAATTCAGGAGCGCTGAATTTAGCAGTCAGACTATGTGCTGGTCAAAGGCATTTTGTTAAAAATCGGGAGTCATTTTCTGTTGCATCCTTTGTAGATGGTTACAGGATTTGATGGGCTGTGGCCAGGAAAAGCACGAACAAGTATAAAAATGGGTTCCTTGCTTTCCCTCAGCCATCTGGGATGCGGGTTCACTTCAGCTGTCTGCAGGAAAGGTTTACGTTTTAAAAGCGGCCTCTTCTGCTCATGTTACTCGAGTTCAATCTGCCATTCAGACCTACTTTGGTGTTGACAGGAAAATCTATATGGGTGTGGCGGAGATAGGGATTTAAAGCAGACACTTTTAAGTGTTACTGCTAGTTAATTCATTTAGCTTTCAGTATAGAGGATTCCTATTTCAGATGATGGAAAATTAGAATCCAGAGATCTGACAAGGTGTATGATGTTCTGTGGTTTCTTCTTAACTGGCAAAGAAATTCAGATGGAGCAAGCTAACTCTCTAAACAAGATGTTTAGTGAAAAAGAGTGCTAGTGAAAAAGGACAGGGAGGCTAACACAGAGCCGAGAGCTGGCCTTGCCAGTGAAAGTTCTGCTGTTGTCACCGCAGTATTTGGTGTCTGCATGCAGGGAATGATTGCTGTAGTGTGCTAAGATGCCTTCAAAATAAGGTTATCTTTTTAAACTGCAGAAAGAGTAACTGAAATTAAAGCAAATTACTTGCTGTATCATTTGATGTTTATGTGTAAAGGGTGATTACCTGGCCACGCCAGATTCTCCAGAAAAGGGAAAAAAAAAAACACCCAACCAACCAAAACTGGATTGCTAAGGGGAAAATAGTTTCCATAGTAACGAATAAGTTTGCTTAGCAATACAAACTGAGTGACAACAAACATAAGCATTCTTTGTCTGTATAGGCGTCTGTGTAACATAATGGTACCCAGCAGGACCGTAATGTGAAAAAACCCCTACTAGAAAGGTACAGAAAATCACAGTGAGAGACAGCTCATTGCATTTTGCTGGTTTTGCTAACTGCAAAAAACAGTTTAAGTTTTCGATTACCGGTAAACTTACCTCTCTTCGTGGCTGCTATTTCAGGGAAATAGATCAGTCAGACAGCAATACCCTAATTGTATAGATCAGCAACTGTAAATAAAAACTAACTACTACCAAAATACCCATGCTCTGTGTCTTATGGCCTTGTGGCCTTGCTCTGCCTCTGCTTCCATGCCATCCCTTCTTCGCCCCCGCCCCCCCCCGGAGGCACTAGTGCCTGTAGGGATTCCCTCTCCTGGAGCGGGGTGAAGCTGGATGGACAGCCGGCCCCAGCAAGGTGCCAGAACAGAGCTCGCTGCTGGATGTGGGGGGCCTGGAGGATCAGCAGGGAGTGGGAAAGCAATTGCATCCGGGGTGTATCCTGCAACAGTCATTCCTGGGCTTCCCCAGCCTAGGTCAGTGCTTTAACGGTGCGACTTGATGATCTTAAAGGTCTTTTCCAACCTAAACAATCCTATGATTCTGTCTTAGCTGGTGAGCAGTCCAATCGAGAGCTCTCTAGTGGCCAAGATCCCTAAAAAAAATTGTGGGTAGTTGTAAGGTAGCTTCTTTACTATCAAACAGAATTAGAAATGGGCAAAATGTAAGTCCTTCTATAAGCAGAAAAATCTTGATTTTCATACGGCTTACATGACTATAAGCCTTGTTTCACCTCCCCTCCCTCCCCAGCCCAAACACACCCCTTGCAAACACTTCCATTGCACTAAGTAAGGCTTAGGGAAACGGTTGAAGGATAAGCAAGAATGGTAGGCTTGGGCCAATGACTGTTTTCTCTAAACAGGAGCTAATTTCACAATATTACGTAGAAACCAAAAGCAGTTGTGGCATTTAATTCCCTAAGCATTTTATCTGTGTAGCAAAAAATAAAGCAAGGGTACCTTCTTTTTTATCACTGCAATGTAATCTTGATTTGTTTCGGGTTTTATTTCGGGAGGGCAAGACTGCAGTTCTGACACAACACCTGGGGCCTACTGTTGGCATATTGTCAGCACTATACCTATGTTGAAAGTAAAATTCTGCATCTCGTAATTGGATAGCTGAAGTGACTATTCCAGAAAATACTTTAAAATATACCTTTGGTAATAACAAACCCAAACTACTTCCAGTTTCTTAGTTTAGATCGACCGATTTATTTGAAACCATCAAGAGGCACTGGTGTAAGAAGTCCAAGAACTTTTGAGATAACTTTTCATTGCACTAAAGATAACTCAATTATTTTCTTGTAGAGAAGCAAAAAATAATAGAGACTTACTACACAGGATGGGAACGCAACGGGACATTCTGTACACTACAGAGAGAGAACAGGAGTACTATACCTCAGGGTCTTCAACCAGAGTCACAACTCTTCCAGGCTGAAAATAAAAAAAAAAATAATAAAAAAATCAAGTTCAGTTAGAGGCTTTTACCCTAAATCATGAGCAAATCCTAAACAAAACAAGAAAAAAACTCAAATGAAAGTAAGGAAAGGGTCAGAGAACTAATCCAGGACAACCTCAGTAAGGTCTGTTTCTTGGAGATCCAGTATAAATATTTTCTGAGAATAGCTTTTGATCTGTATTAGATAAACTGTGATAAAGTGGTAAATTCTGAGTGGAAAGTGTCTGCAACATAGAAGTTAAATTAAGGGCAGTCATAAATGGAGGGGCTTTTGAACATCCTCGCTTTCTATGTGCTGTCCAGACTCAATTCTGTTCCTGTTTAAAATGGTGACAATAATTCATTAATGTAGCACTGTCCTTGAGGAGCGCACCTTCCTTAGGCATGCTGATACTCTACGGTACTATGTGATTTTTTTTTTTTTGTTGTTTTTAAATCTGTGGGGTTACAATGAGGTGAACCGTCTAGCTTGTATTCAAAAAGTTTATATGCAGGCATGGAAAATAACCTGTCATGGAAATCTAGCTTGCGTAGAACTAGGCAAGATATTACCACTTCTGGCTTGGTTTGCACTAACTGGATTTTAGAAAATCCAATGCCTGTGGCAACTCCTAAGTTTAAAAGCTCCTAGATAATTAGATGTTTTTGAAAACATATAGCAAGGAAATCTGCTAGTAATTTTTAGTTATGCAAAGTTGAAAAAAAGACATTTATTGTGCAAAACCCCTTCTTCCCCTTCTTTTTCCCCCTCTCAGGTTGTTCTCCCTTACTAGGCAGGTGGAGGATACCTCGGTAATGGCTTATTTTCCAATGAGTTACTTCTTGCAGGAAGAGTAAGAAGCCAGTTTGTAAATACTGAAAAGAAATTTGTTGAAATTTGTTGTATAACCTGGAGAATAAAATTTTAAACCATAAAACCCTATGGAGAACTACATCTGTAGTTTAAAGTTGTTAATTTTGGCATCAAATTAGCATACAAGCATCTTTGATAAGAGGTTAGGGAAAGCAGAGGTACTAGCATTCCCTCAGTTTTAGTGTGGGATAGAAATTCATTCTCTGAGGAGTTACAAAGATAATCTGAGCTCAGTGTACTGGGGTGCATGCCTTTCACTTAGTCTTCACTAACTTTCAGTCTTGGACTACCACATTTCAGTCTTTTTCTGACTCATCACTAATAGTTGCGCTGACATGTTGTGCTTTGCTGTTTGATAAATCTGTACTCGGGTTTGTCGCTCTCGCACAGCACAGCGTGGGGGTTCCCCCTACGCCGAGTCATTGGCAAGCCACGCGTTCTTTTGGTAAAGAGCCAAATATGAAATCTAGTTTTTGCAGAGCACTTTATAGATACCATCAGCTGTATATGTTATTTATTCAGCGTCAGATCTTTTATAATCTTAAAAGCTGTTTATTTATAAGCTCTGAGGTGCTGCGTTTTTTCATTTTATGCCAGTTGCCTCCCAGCATCAGCCATCTATTCCTGATCTGATTGATAAAATAAGGCAACAAAAATTAATACCAAATCATTACTGTTTGAGTACTTAGAGGAAGCAGGTCATTTACCATGACTGATCAAGATAACCTAAGTATTCTTTTCGCGAAGTTTTTTCCATAGCCATCCCTGATGTTTGTACTTAATACCAGTCACTAAGATTTTGTAAATTATGGTTTGAAGAGACATTCTGTGGTGGGAAATAACTTTATTACCAGGAGTGCCTGTATCTGAAACCTGAATTTTAAATGAAAGCGAAGTACTGAAGAGTACTTAATCTTCAGATTGGTTGTGTGATGGAAGAACGATCTGCTTGGGCAGGACAGGATATTTACGTATTGGTTTGCAGAAACTTTGTCTTGCATGGAACTACCTAAACCAAACACCGTTAAGAAACCATGGGTGTTACCTCTGCTAGCTAAGTAAAGAAAGTAACACATCTATAAATGACCAGCTATATAACATAAACCCAAAGCATTTTGTTGTACCCAAGTATTGGCAAGGGCAAACCCGAATGATCTCCTAAAATCAGATGTCTGAGAGATTTGTGTCAGTTCTGTGCAGCCTGCTGCCAGGAAGGCTGACGGAGGCAACCTTCCGTTGGATCATGCTGGAGCAGCAGTGTGGTATGCGGCCGTGTGGGAATTTTCTAAGGCATCTGTAGTGCTAAGGGCCATCACCCTTCTGAATCTGAAGGGAAGCCACTGTGGAAAATTAAATACCACATTGTTTCAGCTCTTGTATTTCACTTCAAGCCCTTAACTGTACTGTACACTAGAGCTGCCAAATCTACTCCTGTCTTGGAGCACACGTGATGGGGGATTCTTCTAGGTTTTACCGTCCTGGGTTCAGTGAAAAGAAGAAAATAGCATTAGCATCGCGCCGAGTCTGCACTAGAGTCGGGGACTTTCTCCTGGCATGGGGGCTTTGTCTGTCTGCATGGAGATAAAGCTCCTGGGGACAGTCCTGAGGTCTAGCTGAGGTGTGCTATGCAATAGCGGGGTAAACTGAAGTAAGATCTTCCACTGTTAGATTGTTTTCAGTGGTACCATAAACTGCTCGGCTATTAAAATTACTAAATATTTACTGATAGAGGAATCAATTCATTTTCGCATCTGGATATGAAAGTAAGATGGAATAAACAGAAATACGACCTCAGAAATAATTTTAGCTTGATTATATCTTAATTTTTTTCAGAAAGTTTGCCAATAAGTAGGAATGTAATAATTTAAAATGGTTTCCTTAAAAGCACAAGTTTATAAACAAAGCGTGGCCTTTTCGACTTCCTTTTCCTGTGGCTCGTTATGGCGCAACAGGAGGCAACTGACCCATCCTCTCCCTATAGCCCCCTCGCTGGCTGCCATCCAGCGGGAAGAAACCCCCCGTGTAAATCAGGGAATCGCAGAGGTGGGAAGGCACCTCTGGAGATCCTCTAGTCCAACCTCCTTTTTTTTTTTTTTTCCTCCATTTCACCTTTAACAAACTAAAAGCCCTTCGTTATCTTAAAATTATTTAACCTTAAGCTGACCCAGTGATTCTCTGCGTGCAGGAACTCAACAGGTTGCTGTTTGGACAGTGGCAGCAGGCAGCTGGAGCTAGATTAATCATGTCATCAAGTTTCACAGGTTTTTTGTTTTTTTTTTTTTTTTTTTTTGTTACAAAGACAGCCTCTGGCAGGGCCAGAACTGAGATCCCCCCCAAACGTCAGGCCTGTCGGTGTGCTGTGCGGTCAAGTGAGCGCCAGCAGCAGATCAAGGAGAGCGGCTAAAGCAAGTGGTGGTCTGAAGCTGGGAGGGAGGAGGATTGCACGGAGAGGAAGCCAAACTTCACTGGTTTGGCAGCAACGAGCTGTTAGTTTGGTTCAAACCATATTGTGATAATAATGGCTTCAACACTCGAATGCCTTTATGCTCGCATGCAAAACCAAACCCCCAGACTTTAATGTTTGAGGTTTATGTGAATCATGCAGGTTTGCATTTCTGACGCCGTTTTTTTCTGAAGCTTGCACTACGAAGTTTGCACATGCCGTTTATGAAAACAGCTTTGTTACTTGCTCAGGTCTTTCGAAGCCAGTAGTACTTTTTTCAGGGAACACTGTTGTTGCCTGGTAAAATTCAAGTTGCTTTAATGTACGATTCGGAATAAACCTCTGGAAATCTTAGTTTTAAATACAGCTAATGTGTAAGTTGCCGTATATTTTTTCAGTAAATGGTTATTACTTTTTTTTTTTCATTCTTAATCTGTTCTAACAAAACCTTTTTCCAATTTAACATCCCATAAACTATAAAATATGGCCCCGTGATTAATCCGCTTTATAACCAGTTAACTGTCTTATTACA